GATTTTGACCACGTGAGTCCGACAAGGAATGGTTGGGAGTGGCTGGGAGTTGCAGATTCCTCATTTCTGGAGAGGGTGAACATCTGTCAAGAAACAGATTCCGGTGGAAAAAGGTAGGGTCCTCCAGTTCTTGCGCATGAACATGAGGGCCCAAACCACATTCCCCCAGGCCCCACTGCCAGGGATGATTGTGAGCACTGCCAGGGAACCCACTATCAGCATGCCCTTGGTGAAACTCGACCATACTTGAAAGTGACCTGATGCCAGGAGATCCCGACTCTGAGGGCTTTCCACGTTCTCGCCTCTGTCAATGGTTCATCCGAGGCCCTCAAGTATGTATATATATATATATATACAGCTTTGGAAGGTCATTGGGGTACCTTGACCTCCCTATATAGCCCCAGTCAAGGGCGCTTGTCCACCGGAAAGACTCAAGATCTGGACCAAACAGCAACCAAGCAGCCGTGAATAGGACTTGACATGGTAGGTTGATTGGAAATGGTGCTCCAAAAAGTCTACAACCTCGTGAGGGAGGATAACAACTGGGCATATCCCCAGAACTGCAAGTGTTCATCCCTGTGCTGCATCTTTGGATAGTGAGGCCAAGACCATGTTCAAGCTTCCCCAGCCGTGTGCCGCTACCAGATTCCAGCACCAGCCCCGCACCCGTGTGCCATACCTCCTCCGGCAGCTCAAAGGCGACGCGTTCCGAGAAAAGCGCATACTTCACTGCTCGAGGAGGAGGCCTCATGAATGAGTTCTGGTCCAAGTGGGTCTGAGCTAAGGCATGCTCGCAACAAGTGCTTGCATGTCGACCATCAATGGCATGGGGAATGCCACCCGGCCGTTAGTCAGGGGGACATGGCAGGAAAAGGGTGACATGGGCTGGTAAGGTTGACCATGGTTCCTCCTGCGGCTTTTTTGGATGTGCTTGTGGAAATGAAACTCATAGGGGGTGAGTTGTAAATCGCATCCGTTGCTGGTACAGGACCCTGTTTATGGGTGGGAAGTGTAACACAAAGGACACCACATTACATTTAGATTTACTGCATGTAACAAATTTGACAGAAACCCTGTTGATTCCAACATCCTCTTGAACGTACTGAATAATACTGAATCATTATGCACAGGGACCGCCAACTAAACAAGACCAATATTCATTGGGCTCTCTGAGATTCTCTGAATAGGTGCTTTGGGCCAATCCAGTCAATCCCTGAGCTCCAACCCTGCAATAGCAGCCCATATCCCTGAACAACATATAGCAGTGGTTGTCATGCAAAAGAAAAGATTGTCTAGTAGTACGTTCAATATTAGGGCAATTAAAGCTCTTCCTGAAATCGCACTGAAATACATGTGAACAGTCAGGTGCGATGCAAACAATGAACGTGAGAATTGGCCAGCCGTCGGCTCGAGCTACATTGACAAGAAAGTGACAACACATGGTCATTCGGGCGGTCAGGATTTGTTTTCCAAAGTTTGTCTTTAGATGTCTTTAGCATTTTTTAGCAAATGTGGTGAAAGCATATGAAAGCATTAGGAGCAAGGACGCTACGAACGGGGCTCCTGGCATCGCTACTAGGAGCAAGGAATGTTTCCTTAGAAAGACTGAAATGCAGCTGCATTAGCTAGAAAAACCGAGGAAACACATGTTCCCTGGCGTTTTGTTCTTTTCGGGAAGGCGTCGGTTCTCCGTGGCACCGGTCGCAGTTCAGAGTTCTCAACATGGATTTCCACGGTAGGAATCATCATCGAAACGTCGTACAGTACGTTTAGGCTCTTTTGTTGGGTGAAGGGCGAACCAAACAAACGTACAATAGCAATGTATTGTTCTCGTTGCATCCCACGCGAGAACCCAAAACCAAAACATGACAACACATATTATGATATAGAATAGATTTATGTGCTCATGCGCGGGACCCAGGGTTCTATTCTTTTATAGCTCAGCAGCTTGCTATTCTCAGTTAGGTTCTTGCTATTGCTTCAAATTGCCTGAGGGAGCCTCGGAGGGCTCCGACTTGGTGTAAACTTACAGATGCCTCATTGATGTTGCTTTGTGGTTAACCAGTGGTTAACGGAAGCTCTCTCCCAACCGCATGAAGAACTTCTGCCAAGATTTGAGAGGAATGGTGATGTACTTTGCAAAGCTCGCGCGAGTGCAAATGCAATGCACAAACAAACTGGTAAAGAAATTGTTTTCTTAATGTTGTTGTCCTGACCATATTCATACGTAGCTCATCCTACCGTTGAACCCTCATAAGCCCAGCAGTGTCCAACCGTCATCGCCACACAACACTCCCGGACATCTCTTAGCCCATCCGAGCCAACAACGAAACGAGCCAGCATCAATTCTGAGGCTTCGCCCTAAGATTCCAAACCACCATTGATTTACAGAACAGTAATTAATAGCACCGAACAACCATTGCTTTACTAGTTACTAGGGATTTGACGCTACAAAAGCAGGTCGACCTTTCTGTGGTTGAACGGAAGGCTAGGGCTAGGCTTCCCAGTTGTCAACACCCTCCCTCCTCCCTCCTTCCTCGCCTCTCTTGAGTGCCCAGAAAGCGTCCAAGCTCCTCGCCGATCGATGGTTCACAAACAATGCAGTCTTTGGCCAAAGATCTTCGGATGAGAGTGGTGTTTTGAGTGTCTTTCCCGGTGCACGGTGCATCATGGTGGCTTACTTTGTTCATTTCTACATCTTGAACAACCGTTCGTTCGGATATTCTGAGTTGGTGCATGGTGCATCTGGACCAAAAGCAACCTATTTCAAGGTCCCAGCAACGTGTTGGAACACCCTCTCGCATCATGAATACGCTCTCAGGGTGGCACCTTTTGTGTTCCCAACATTTATAACACTGGACACATGCATAAAACATCACACGGGGTGTTCAATGGACGCCCAGTCTATTGGTGAGTACTTTTACGGATCGTTCTGGTCTGTGAACCTTTTTGTCATTCTTCGAGTCGAGGTTCCTCAACACCAGGTTTGAGAGGGTGGACGTACCATAAGTATGGGCAGCTGAAACGCAAGTGCTACGCTGCACTCTTGACATACCCAAGACACTCCATGTATGTGCCTATGACCCCTGAGACCACCCCAATGTTGGTAGCCTTTGACATATGTTTGGAGTGTCTGGGTGCAGGACACACACAATCGCTGATGATCATGCGGTGGGATCTTCGCTAGCTGCTCTGCCAAAGACATGTTCAGAATGCAGATTTGCACAGGCACGTTGGAACAGGTTGACGTGCCCACGTTGAGCCTCCGTATATGCACATAAAACCATCCCGAGTTCCACCACATCCAAACCACTTGGTACCCCATGAAAACTCTGGACATCCTCTTGATTGACTGTAACACCTGAAGTGTGAAGACGCCTGAAAAAAAAAGAGCCAGGGAAGTCGCTTCTTGCGCACATTCCAGGATTGAGTCATTCAGTTGTTCTCACGTGAGCGAAACAAGTATTACTCAATTTGAAGTCGACCCTGGTGCTCTTCGAGGTCTCGTTTCGGCGCAGCTGAGCCCCCAAGCTGCCAAGCTGCTACGCTTGGAGGCGGCCTCCGACCTTGGAGGCCGAGTGAGCGAAGAAGCAAGACGAAGCTTCCGAGGCTTCTGAAGTTGGTTTCTTCGTGCCAATCCAAGGCGATGCATATACTATGCTACTTGGCTTGTCAGTCCCAACCGAGCATCTAATAGCTTGAAACAATGTCAAGGTGGTTAGTTTACTGCTGGAAGAACATTTATTTAGGGAGAACAATAATGGCCATCTTGTCTTCTGGTCCTGCTTTGTATACAGTAGGTCTTTAAAGAACTTCATTTCTGTGTCCATCCTCCCAAGTACGTCAAAGCGCTCAAAGTTACCTCTCTTTGGACTTGCAATTCCAAGATCCAATCACATCAGTGTATCCGTGGTGACCTCAAACCCAACATCCACACAACAAGCATCCTTTCAAAGCGGAAGTAAGGGCAAACCCCACCTCAATCAGTATACGGGCAACGAAAGAGCAAAACCCGCACCCGACGAGCGCCCATGTGGCATCAATCACGCCCACCTGGTTGTGGCTTCGCCCCAATGTTACAGTGTTCTGCAATGACCTGGTCACACCATGTCACACCATGGTGGCAGACATGGCACGCGGCGACCTCACCGCGTGGTCCGAGCTTTCAATCAACTCGCCGCTTCGACCGTCACGGTCGACCAAGCGGCTCGGTGCCCTCAGGCGCTTCAGCAGCACGGCGAGGGCCCTCCTGGAGGATCGCGGAGGCGTCCACAAATCAGACGCTCCAAATGGAAGTGGATGGCATGGCCCCTAGTTCGGATGACCGTGTTCAATCAAAAAACTCTAGTGGTCAGCTTTCCATGGTGCCATCCACAGTTCTCCAGTTTTCCATCCTCAGAGTGGTCTTCCTCTGGTGCGACAGACTCGAGTCGACAGGCCCCGAGACTCTTACAGTCTGGGACGTCGAACGATCCACCAGAGTCGGACCCACGGAGTCGGAGCGTTCCATCGTGTATGATGTCCTCATCCCAGCAGACATGATATCCTGGAGTTCCTGGACATGGATTTTATCAGGATGACTCACCAGACCAGTCTCAAAAATTGGGATCTTTTCGGGTTCTTTCCCGTAAAAAAGAGGTAGCAGGCTCACGGCTCACAACTCTTTGAAGCAGGATTTCAACAGCTCTTCAAGCTGTACTGACGGATCGTTTTCAAAAACCAGTTCCACCATGTTCCACCCTTTCCTGTTACAAATCATCCACGCGAAAGCTCTATGTCCAAATATATTCCAATTGGCCCTTAATGATACAGTGGCCGATCGAACAGAGTAAACTTCTCATAGCATACCTGGACCATCCAAGGGGTGCCCAATGGAAGCCAAAAAAGGTAGTGTGGGGTAGTCCATTGGACACCCCTTGGATGGTCCTGGTAGCAAGCATCCATTCTTCCCATTCTTTGCAATTCATGTTGGCAAATCTCGGAGTCGCTTCGCATTTCAAGCCATCCCTTTGATTCAGCGAATCGAAACATGACTCCTCAAGGAGTGTCGGGCGAGACCGCATGCCCCGCTGCTCCACCGAAGGGAGCGATGGAGACGTACAAAGAGCCGAGGGTGACACTCTTGAGCCCGTTGGGGAGCTCGAGGTGTTTCCAGCCATGAGAGGTTGCGCCCAAGGTCAGGTGTTGAAGCCCATCAGGCCAAATGACACGCCGCAAGCTGCGGCAAAAGAACGCAGCGTCCAAAACTAGGTTTCGAAGCCCTCTGGGCAGATGCACCTGATCCAAGCTGTTGAACGAATCGCCCAAACTCAGGCTTTCGAGCCCGATCGGTAAATCCACATGCGCCAAACTCCGATTGAAGCCATGGCCAATTTTGAGGCTTTGCAGTCCATGTGGCAAGTTAACATGATCCAAACTCCGATTGAATCTATCGCCCAATGTGAGGCTTTGCAACCCAAACGGCCAAAGAACGTGCTCCAAACTCCTATTGAACCTGTTGCCCAACGTGAGGCTTTGCAACCCCTTCGGCAAAGTCACGCGCTCTAGACTTTGATTAAATCCGAAGCCCAAAGTCAAGCTTTGGAGCTTATTCGGCAGATTAACGTACTCCAAACTTTGTTGAAATCGGTAGCCGAGAGTCAGGCTTTGGAGCCCGTCTGGCAGATTGATATCCGCCAAGCTATGGTTGAAGTCATCGCCGAAGGTCAAGCTTCGCATAGCCTTGGGCATGTGGATGTGCTCCAAGCTCTGATTAAAGTCATCCCCCAAGTCTAGGCTCTGAAGCCCGCTGGGCAGAATGATGTGCTCCAAACTCTCGTTCCCACGCAGAGTCAAACTTTGGAGAGAGCTTAGTAGAGCAAGGTGCTCCAAAGTCCCAACAAATCCACAGCCACAGGTGAGGTGCTGAAGGTCTTTGGGCAATGTCAGGTGGTTCTCCCGCTTGGATACATCACCATGAGGCAAATTGAGCCGTTGAAGCCCCTGCGGCAAATCAACGTGCTGAAAACTCTGGCTGTATCCATGGCCAAATGCCAGTGCTTGTAGACCACTTGGAAGGTTCGCATCTTCCAAGGCCTGATTGAATCTATAACCAAAACTCATGCTCAGCAGCCCATCTGGCAGATTCACATGATCAAGGCTCTGGTCAAACCTACTGCCAAATGTGAGGTTTCGGAGCTTCTGTGGCAGCTTCACATCCTCCAAGCTCTGGTCAAACTTGCTTCCAAACTTCAAGCTCTGGAGTCCGTCTGGAAGCTCGACATCGTCCAGACTCTCGTTGAAGTCATGGCCAAACGTCAGACTTTGAAGCCCGTCTGGCAACTTCACATGGTCCAAGCTCTCATTGAAGTCATGGCCAAAGGTCAGGCTTTGGAGCTTACTTGGCAGCTTGGCGTTGTCCAAGCTCGCATTGAAGTCCATGCCAAAAGTCAGGTGTTTCAGGCTGTCAGGCAAACGGATGTCCTCGATGCTCTGATTAAACTTATTGCCGAGCTGCAAACATTGGAGGTCGCTTGGCAAAGTGATGTGCTCCAACCGCCGACTACATCGGCCGCAAATAGACAGGCTCTGTAAGCTTCGAGGCAAATTCTGAAACATGTCTGGGGAGACCCAAAGCGTCAGTTGTGTGAGACCTTCCAAAGCTGTAACTGCCTGATCTTCCTGGTCTGTGTGTAAGCCCTGGCATAGAATGTAAGCCACGGCCTTTGCCAAGTTGGACCGGACATAGGTGTAGGAAATCGTGGCACCGTCTTTCAACCCCTGTTCTCTCAGGGTCTTGCCCATTTGGAGCTTCCTGGGTGATTTTCAAGCACCAAGCAAGAAATAGCTATATAATAGAACTAAAATTCGAAAGACACCTTTTTTATCCGTTTAAGATATTCCAAATCTATCAACATATCAAAAATCCAGGGTGTACCCAAAGAATCACGGTTCGGTCAGTTCTTCTTTACTGGAAATGCCCAGCTGCTCGGTTCCCATGAAGATGGCGAGGCCAGCGCCAGCTTTGCAAGGCAGTCGGCGACTGATCCTTCCATGTAGATCCCGACCAATCTTGGAATCTGGAAGCCTCCTTAGGTGTGGAAGGAAGCTACTAAGGGAGGAAGGAAGCTGCTAGGTGGAGGATCGCTATTCGGTTGGAGGCCATCGCTACTACGTTGGAGGCCATTGCTATTAACTATTAGGTTTGGAATTGAAGTTCAGAAGGCTTGGAAGAACTTAAGAGTTCCGTTTGCCAAGAAGTTTACTCGCAAGTTCCATTCACAAACATAGGATGGAACCTCCACCAATAGTTTTCTACTGTTGGTGCTCTTCTGCAGGAGATCTTTTCTACATATAGCTGTTTCTTTGTTTGCCACCACCACCATCACAGGGGCTGGCACTGATCAGGCCTCTCAGCCAAATCTCCGGTCCAACCATACCAACCGACCTGAAAAAGAATATATTCATCTCCAACACACAAAAGTTGCCAAACATGTTTTTGGACAACACACAGCCATGCTCGGAGGCTGACCTGGAAAACGGTTTTAAGGACGCTGGAAAACGCCTGGTTTTTTGGCAACTTTCTTGGAAGAAAGGAACGAACCAGCCCAGTGGAACCTGTGACATGGAAGTTTGAAGAGCTGTGACATGCCAGTAAAACAGTATGGTGTGGTGAGTGATTCTTCGCGGTTTATGGCGTCATCTGGTGAAGGTGGTGATGAAGTTTTTGCTGTGGGGTAGTGTATCGAGTGGGGTGTGTCATGTGATGATAATATGTTCACACTGTGAGGTGTTTTTGTGCAATCCAGTAAAGGGAACTCCTTTTCAGCCATACCATACTGCTCACATGGATCTGCAACAAGTTGGGGAACTCTCGAACAGCAAACTAATAAATAGCTACCCGTTGCGAGAACTGCTTTTGACTCCGACAAGAACCTCGAATTAGATAGATGCAATGCTTCCACCAAACATGTCTGTATAGTATGTATATATTATATGTCTGTATAGTGGGGGGGCAAAGACGAACGTCGGCCACATTCCACCTCCGCCCAACCATCTTCGAACATCTTCCGCCAGGCATCAAGCTAAATGTTTCGCCATCCAAGCCAACCACATGGATTTCGATGATATCCTCCAATCCTGGGGCCCCTGTTGTTGGAATATGATCTCTGCGCGCCAGCGACATTGCGATGGCGACATGGCGACGCTGAGCAGGTGAAAACTGCCTTGCTGCAAGCGAACTCGGGATCTCCGAGTTCTGAAATCGGGTTAACCACTAATCAAGAAACTACTAGTAGCTAGAAGCTACTAGGTGGAGGCCATCGCTATTAGGTTGGAGGCCATCGCTACTAGTACGTAACAAGAAGCTACTAGTAGCAGGACTACCAGGACGAACAAAATCAAAAATGCCGCCATTTCCGTGTCATCTCTTGTACATAGCCGCACTTTTGATTCTAGATTAGGATCTAAGAGCTCAGCCAGGCCATCCTTCTGACTTCGGCCCAGAGCTCAGCCAGGCCGCTGGCATGACATCGGTGTCGACGGTCCGGGCATCCGCTGGGTGTAGGCGGTCCGTCTAGTAGACACCCAATAGGGTTTTCAACTACCTGAGAAGGTGGTTCTAGTGGGTGTGTGGGGTCTAACTATGTCTAGCTACATTCTCAGGGATATGGTTGGAGCCCTAGGGGGAAAAAGGCAGACCATTCTCTTGTAGGATCCTGAGTGGTCTCGGGAGTCACTGGGTCTGCAGCAGTACGACGGTCTGTAGTTCGGGCGTTGCGAAGCTTCGATGCGCCGTAGCGAGTTGACAGGACAGGACGGAGCGAGCGAAGGGAGCCAACGGTGGCTTTGCGAACGAGGAAGCCAACGGGTGGCACCGGTGCTAAGTATGGTCACGGGGTTTTGGAAGCTGTCGCTACGTATTGAAGCGACAATCCGTCGTTGAAGCGGCAAAATACAACTCAAAAGTGGTACCAACAGTGGTGCCACTCCGTTGACACTCATTGACGATAAGTCTTTGTGTAGAAGTAAGGTTTGAAGCTTGCCTCTTGGATAACAAATCAACAACATATCACAACCAGGAGGCAATACTGTATGATGGTCCATCACCAACACAACAAACGGACATAGTATGTCTGATTTGCTGAGTGCCACCATCGGTCCAACCATGGAACCTCCGGAGTCTGACACGAAGCTCAGAGCTTAGCTGACAAGGTGGAAAACAAACAAACACACCAAGCACTCAAAGCGTCTTGTACCCCAAATGGATTCAAACACGCACACGGCCCCACACAACCTTCTACAAACACGGCCTGTTTCTACCTCAACAGTGACCATGTCTCACAAGTTATGGCTTGGTTCTCACACCAAAACATTATGGTTCTCACAAGTTATGGCTTAGTTAGGGGATGGACTTAATTAGTTCCTAGTTCTCACACCAAAACATTATAGTATTACACAAAAGAAAGTCCATCTCCTCGGAATTCCCTTCCATCGTCTGACTCCATCGTCCCCCGTCGATTCCAGCGGCCTGGCATTGTCGGGTGGTTGGGGTCATGGTCATCGTCCATCGTCCCCTGCGAGGTTCCTCCCGGTCCCTGCCGCCGTCCTTTAGGCATCGCCATCGTGCGATATGCTGCGAGGCCTAGCATAGCCCGGGCGAGGCCCACGAGATGATGAGAGGCCCGATGGACATCTGAAACCATCGTTGCTTATATAAAGAGCACAGAAAAACCCTCTGCAACATCATTGGGTCATGTTGGGTGAATTGTTGGAACTGCTCCCAGGTCGACACGAGTGTATCTCACTTGCCCCAAGAAACGACCGAGTCCGAGGGGGCTGCACATTGGAGGACCAGCTGTCCTGGCAGAAAACGGCCGCCTTCTTGAGTTCAATCCCAGTGGCAAGATAAACCAAGATAGGCCTACTGCACCTGTTTGAGGAAACCAGTCTTTCCAAAGGCCATCTTTCACTTCCATGTTAGTTGCAGGGAGATAGAATGACCCCCCAAATCCTCGTGGCAAGAGTTTAGACTGAAAACTGTTCGGCCAGGCGGGGGTCCCTAAACTCGTACCCATATTATCAAGTCAGCCTGTACCGATGGGTTTACTCCGTCAAACGCATGACAATCCAACAAAACGAACGCCCACCTAACACGAGAGGCTCAAAAATAAGATGCAATCATGCCATCCAAACTCACTAGTCAAAGGAAACACCTACAGGCCCGTTAGAGGGCCTCGTTGAATTTGGACATATTGACCCACGCCCGAAGTCGACTCAAAATATGACTCCTAGCAGAGAAACACCATGTACCTCGGGTATTTCCCATTCCCTGTCACAGTGCATGATGGATACAGTAGGTTCCAGGCCCTTCTCACAACAACATCTGATACTGTTGCTCTTAGTGGGACTGAGTAGGTATACTCCACTAGCTAAAACTGGGTAGGTAGTCCATTGACTGGGCACTGATTGACTGTTACAGCTCTATCAGACACACTGAGCCACATCTGCCACATCCCCAAGCTGAGCTTCCGAGCTGGACAAGCGGTGGGTGCCTGGAACCCACTGTGGACAGGCCCAGGTTCGCCCGTGCCACCCACTCAAGCCGGTTAGCCCCGTCGTCGATGTCCTGTCCTACGTCCCGGCCTGACGCGTGTGTGATGATGCCTGATGATGCCTGATGTAATCGGATGACCACAGAACGAATCAACCACCGAGCTTAGGATATGGTGGTGTTCGTCGTCGCCGACAGGTCGTATTCTGTCCACCCTTTGAGGGGTTTCCTGTACGTGCATCTGTTTCCCGGAGAGTTCCATCATCGGTGTTTAACAAGAATTCACAAGAACTGCAGCAAGCTCTCAGGACATGTGAGGTCATCTTATTCACAATAATTTAATCGATCAAAAACATAAACTGGTCATTGTGAGCAGAAGGTATTGACCTGTATGCCACTCCAAAATACAGCAGGTAAAAAGTTACCTTTAAACAGTCAGGTCAAAGCCTGCGTCAATGCCGAGATGTCGCATTCCCGAAAAGATCCGAACAGTCGTCCTTTGGAGGGCCCCAGTTGCATTACTCAGGGTAAGATGAAATCAAAGGCAACATACTGAGGGCAAGATTTGTAAGGATACAGCAAGATGCAAATACAAGGTACGATGTTTCAAGAGGGGTTGTAGCCCATCGCCACTGATCTTCTGGTCCATTGACATCCATTGACCACCACACCTCGCAGTAATCGGCGTTGAAACGCCTCACCACAAGGGTGAACGGTGCGACGGTGTGCCCACGAGACTCCCTGCCCTAGTTGGAAGAATCTTGAAAGTTCGGGGTGTAGAGTCGTGGAAGAAAGTTGGAGAAAGACACCTAGAAATGTCTCTGACAGGTTTTCCAAAGGAGCAGGGAATGGACATCTCTGACTACCCCTGAGGTTGGTATCACGGTATCACGTGAATGGTCCTAACAAGCCAATGGTCAAAATGGTCAAAAGCCTCGCTTCGAAACATATAAAATAGCCACTTGCTTGTGTTTGCTGGGACCGTCCCAACGCGGTTGCCTGGGACCGTCTCAACACAAAACCCCTCGAGAAGTTGTTCATCATGGGCTCCTCATTCGCAAGTTCCTTCCACAACACTTTTGCGGCCCAAGTGTTTGGGCTTGAACTTGCGCTGCATTCTGTGCAAAAAAACACGGTCGCAAGCTCTCGCGGACGGAACGGATTTCGCAAGCTTTTGCAAGCCTTCGCGCATGAATAGTTCGCGCCATCCTTTGCGACGACATGTTTGGCCTTCGCGAAGGCGACATACGGCCCTGAGCACCCAGTCTTCGAGCCCTGAGGTTCCCGACTTCAGCAACGGCTGGGACTTCTGCCTGAGGTTCGACAACTAGACAGCAGGGTGTGTTTCCACAGGAGGCCAGGCCAGAATTCAGCGGTTGCAGCAAGTCTGAAAGTCCGGTCAAGCCGTCTCCCAAAACCTCGGCCTGAAGTTCTGGCATGTTTGGGGTAGGTGTTGACATATGGAGGCCCATCATCTGTTAAGCGCACTTTTTTGAAACACAAGCAGCCGCCAGGGGTCGGATCTTACATGATCACTGGATTGAAAGCATCCAAGTCTATGAACTTCAGGGACGCCTACCGTGTGAAGGATGCACAAATCCCCGGCTTTATGAACAACATGTCTTGGAACCAATGATCTGCCCATGATCCACCATTGAATCGTCCAACTTTTTGGAACCACTGGATGATCTAGTCCTGCATTCTTCTAAAAACATCCTTTGTGACAAGTCCAAGTTGCAGGCTTGGCCAGAAACTCTGGCTCTCGCAGGGGTGCATGATACTCCCTTTCAATAGACCCCAAATCAGTGCAAGAATGCAAAGCGGCCCAGGGTTCTTCCAGGCTTTAGGGTTTCACGTACCATGGGACAATATATTATGATATGAGTCTGTCTCAACTCTGGCTCAAACGGCCAGAACTTTGAACATCGGTCTCTGTTACAGCCTACAGCTGCCTGTTTTCAGGAAGTTCATCCTTAAAGCTATTAGTTTCTTGCAACAAAATGCAAACAGTTCCCGAACGGGTTCCAAGGACATCCTCAGAAGGTAGGTAGACCCACCAAACCATACCAAATCCACCTATTTCACACCTTGAAGAATCAAGTAGTTCGAGGCCCGCGGCCGAACCTTCTCCCTCCAAATCACTGAACTCTTCCCAGTGCCTGCGCATTTCTTTGGGAGGCCCGCGTGGCCTCAGCCACAAAGACACTGGAAATTCATTCTCACTCTTCAGAGGAAGTCTTCGGTGTTTTGCTTCCTCTGAACGTTGAGTTTCTTCCTCTGAAGAATGAGAAGACATTGAAGAGGAACCATGCAATCCGGGAGGACGTCCTTCCTCTGACCATCTTGGCGGTTTAAACATCTGGAAAACTCCACCCTTTCGTTTCGCCCGAGATGATCAAACTCGGTTGCTCTTGGCAACACACACGAATCTCCTGAAGTCTCTTAATCTGGCTAACATCAAAGCAAATGATTGAAATACTTTATAGTCGATTAAACAAACATCTGAGAAAGGTTTAAGCAAAACAATCTTCACAAAACACCAACCAGCGAAGACTAAGGCATCTGGGTGATTTGCTATCACCCACCAGTAGTGAAAGACAAGGACAGACAGGGCCCCTTGCCAGTCATGACTTTCGGATGGGTTTGTTACTGCCATACCATACTGATATTCAGTGCTGACTAAGAAGCGGGGTGCAAGTGGAC